AGCAGTAGTGCTAACCACTGAGCCACTGTGCTGCCTGCTGAAAGTAAGCATGCAGGTACAGCAGGCAGTGAAGAGGGCAAATGGCATGTTGGCCTTCATAGAGTCGTAGAGTCATACAGCGTGGAAACAGACCCTTTGGTCCAACTCATCCATGCCAACCAAGTTTCCCAAAGTAAAGTAGTCCCACTTGTCTGTGTTTGGCCCATATCTGTCTAAACCTTCCCTATTCGTGTATATATCCAAAATGTCTTTTAAATGCTGTAACTGTACCAGCATCTACCCCTTTTTCTGGAAGTTCATTCCACAGATGAACTCTGTGTTAAAACGTTGCCCCTCATGTCCCTTTTAAATCTTTCTCCTGTCACATTAAAAATATGCCTCCGAGTTTTGAACTACCTCCACTCTAGGGAAAAGACCTTTGCGGTTCACCGTATCCATGCCCCTCATGATTTTATAAACCTCTATAAGGTCACTCCTCAACCTCCTACACTCTAGTGGCAAAAGTCCCAGTCTATCCAGCCTATCTTTATAACTCAAACCCTCCATTCCCAGCAACATCCATGTAAATCATTTGTGAATCCTCTCCAATTTAATAATATCCTTCCTATAACAGGGTGACTGGAACTGTACACAGTACTCCAAGAGTGGCCTCACCAACAGCCTGTACAACCTCAATATGGCATCCCAATTTCAATACTCAGAGGTCTGAGCAATGAAGGCAGACTTTAAGGTTTAGCTTCCTTAAACACCCTGTATACCTGTGGCTCAACTTTCAAAGAATTATGCACCTGAACCCCTAGGACTCTCTGTTCGACAATGCTACCAGTGTCCTACTGTTAACTGTCTAAGTCCTGCCGTTGTGCATTTTACCAAAATACAACACCTTGCATTTATCCAAATTAAACTCCATCTGTTACTCCTCAGCCTATTCGCCCAATTGATGGGATTTCTTTGTAACTTTAGATAACCTTCTTCACTGTCCACAATGCCAGCAATTTTGGTGTCATCCACAAACTTACTAACCCATGCCTCCTAAATTCTCATCCAAACTGTTTATATAAATGACAAACAACAGTGGACTCAGCACTGATCCGTTTGGAACATTGCTAGTCACAGTCCTCCAGTCTGAAAAACAACCCTCCCACCACCTCCCTCTATCTCTTGCCGTTAAGCCAATTTTGTATCTAATTGGCAAGCTCTCCCTGAATCCCGTGTGATCTGCCCCGTGTGATCTGCCTTTACTGATCAGTGTACCATGCAGATCTTTGTCAAAGTCTTTACTAAAGTCCATTTAGACAACATCCACTGCTCTGCTCTCACCAATCTTAATGAGAGGATTCACATACAGGAGCCAGAATATCTTGCTGAAAGTGTGCAAGGCTTTAGTGAGACCGTACCTGGAGTAGTGTGCATTTTTGGTCTCCTTATCTGAAGAAGGATGTTCTGACTATGGACGAAGTGCAATGAAGGTTTACCAGACTGATTCCTAGGATGACAGATTGGTGTATGAAGAGAGATTGGATTGGTTAGGACTATAGACACTGGATTTTAGAAGATTGGGGGTGGGTTGGGATCTCAAAGAAACATATAAAATTTTAACAGGACTAGACACAGTAAATGCAGGAGAGTCCAAAATCAGGGTCACAGTCTAGGTATATGGAATAGGCCATTTAGGTCTAAAATGAGGAGAAATTTCTCCACCCTGAGGGTGGTGAGCTTGTAGAAGTCTCTGCCCCAGACAGCGGTTGAGGCCAAAACATTGAATATTTTCAAGAAGGATTTAGATATAGTTCTTTGGGCTAAAGGGATCAAAGGGTATCGAGCGAAAGTGGGAACAGGGCACTGAGTAGGATGATCAGCCATGATCATATTGAATGGCTGAGCACGCTCGAAGGGCTGAATGGCCTACCCCTGCTCCTATTTTCTTTGATTCTAAAACAAAAAGGAGGAACCCAGTGTCAAAGGTATGTCTAAGCAATAATGAAAATTGAAAAATAAACATTTGCAGTCAAGCTTGATAACTTGACAGTTATCTATATAGTAGAGGATCTTTCATTGTTAGACGGAAATACTGGATGGTTTTCCATTTTTAACAAGGAAAAGTGAATCTCGATAAGTCAGGGAAAGTGTATTTTGGACGAATGAAGCAATAGTATTAAACCATAGAACAACAAAACAACTAAATAAATCAACTATTTGGATGAAGCAGAATTCATATGGCAAACTGAAATGGCAATATTCTCAAGAGCAATGTATTTTGTGATAATTTCATCAATCTGCAAAAGGCAGAAAGTTATTCAGCTTTTGTAGTGCATAAAGTGACTTACTGCTGTCTTGTGGTGGAAAGGGGAATTCAGAAGATGCTGAGGGATTTTGAATTGTGCGGGTTAATACTGTTAAAGATGGCAGCTTTAGTTCCTAGTGGTTGGATTTGCAGGTTTCTCTGTTTTTCTTTGTTATGGATGTGCGACTAAAATCATAGAATTCACTGATTTGTCTGCTACAACAACAATACACAGTTTGCTGCTTGCAAAGATGGTGAAGGAACTCCCATACTGGATGTCACATTATAGTTTACAGCACAGTCGTTCTAAACACATGAACCGGAGCAGGCATAGGTCATTTTGCCCCTCAAGCCTGTTTTGCCTCTTTTTTCCTGTAGCCATTGTCATGTCTTTTCAGCTGGTGAAGTAGAACTAGAATTTTTAAGGGTACAATCAAATCCATAAATAAAACAATGCCATTTTAAATTTGAAACTGAAGTCAGTTTTAGTATAGGTGTAGAGCTGGATGAACACAGCAGGCCAAGCAGCATCAGAGGAGCGGGAAAGCTGACGTTTCGGGCCTAGTCTAGCCCGACCAACACAGATACACTGTAAATAGTACATTTACATATCAAATAATGTGGTGCAAATCTACTTAGAGGCTAGCTGAAGAAATCTGCACCCAATCAAAAGCGTAAGATCATTTGAACTGTGAATATGAGTCATAGTTTGGGAATACCAGAATCTGAAGGAGTATTAGGAATTAGATTGGAGAAACATTTGGAATATGTTCAAGTGGAGCATTTTCTACGGAAAAGACATGTTAGCCCAGATGTTAGATTATTCTATAATTTAATCAAGTAGCTAATCAATAATGCTTACTCAGATTTACACAACTTTTGTCATCAATAATTTCCTGTCAAGTGATATCTAGGCAACAGAACTGCAATCCCAAAGATATAAAGAGTTGTGAACAAAAACAGAAATTGCTGGAAAAGCTCAGCAGGTCTGGCAGCATCTTTGGAGAGAAATCAGAGTTAATGTTTCGCGTCCAGTGACCCTTCCTCAGTTCTGAACTGAAACTGGGCCCAAAGCATTAACTTTGATTTCTGTCCACAGATGCTGCCAGACCTGCTGAGCTTTTCCAGAAATTTCTGTTTTTGTTTCTGATTTGCAGCATCCGCAGTTCTTTCAGCCTTTAAAAAGTTGTGAATCCTTGGAATTCTCACCCCGATGGGCCGATGATGCCCCATCATTAAATATATTTAAGGCTGTAATAGGCAGTTTGGGAACCATTGGGTTATGGCGAGTGGATGGAAAGGTTGGGGTGAGGCCAAAGATTTTCATGATCATAGTGAAGGGCAGAGCAAGCTCAAGGTGCCATATAGCCAACTGTTATATCTTAGATTAACTGCAACAAAACCATCTGATCAAAGATTGTCGTAGTGTTCAACGCAAGAATTCCCCAAAGCACAAATGTTCATCAAAGGTACATAAACACGAGCAGAAACTCAAATCTGTGGGAAAGCAATCATAGCAACAAAACAACAGGACACCATTGAAAACCACCAGGTAGATTTCCAAACTAGGAGCCAGGCACAGAAGTAGCTACCAGTTGGGATTCATTTACGATGGGACCTCCATCACAAGTTTTATTCGCAGGTGGCAAATTGGAAAGCTGCATCCATTTTGACTTTGGAATCTGTAAGGATAAATTTCTCAACAATGGGGAGAGGATTTTAAGCAGCCATTTTCAATATATACTGCTCCTTTGAGGGTAGCCATCAGATTTTGCAGATCTTTTGTAATATTCTTGGTCGTTTTCTCTGAGGTAGATGAATAAGTACACACCACTGAGGCGCTAAATTAGTTCCAGGACTTTATTTAAGCATGAATAGTAGCCAAATTATGGAACAATTTGCCATTATGATTCATATAATAATCTGAATCTGATCAATGCGTAATGTCTTTGTCATCATAGCACCAACATGTTAGATTTCTTTTGCACTTTAATGTAATAAAACATTCCAAGACACGTCACAGGAACATTATTGAACAAAAATATATACCATGGAGACAGTGTAACAAGATTACATTATATAAGTAGATGTTCTATTTCACTGCCAGTGGTTTTCCTCTATAAACTTGACTGAGTAGGCTTTGTAGATCCCTCCCAGGAGAGAGGATGGTGACAGTGAATCTATGATACTACAGGATGAATAATGGGGAGGATTCATTGTAAAATGTTCCTGTGTTAGATTTTTGTTTTGACATAAGTAACGGCCCCATTTGAGAGTGGAGACAGTGAATGTTTAAGAAGGTGGAAGGATCCATTGGTATATTTTACGACCCAAAGAGTTTTACAGCCCCTAAAGAGGGCCTCATGTGGTGCAGTTGTAGAGTCCCTACCTATGGGTTCAAATCCCACTGCACCATGTGTGAACATGTCTGAACAAGTTGATTAGAAAATACCTACAGCCACTGAGGCATTTTTATAGTTGTTATGAAGGCTTCCACAATGGAGAAAAAAGGTGTGAAATTCATTTGAAATAAATACTTCATTCATTATTTACTTCCCGTGGTTTTCCATGGTGAAAAGAAATGAGCTCTTTTTTTAAAAAAAATGTAATTGCATTTGAAATGGGCAGCACCAACAGCAAGTGCAAGGTCCTGTATATTCTCCTGCCATTGTATCTTTTATTCACAATAGTTTTATCAGTGTTATTACTTTTTCAGAAACCCCTCGAAAAGATTGAACGATTTGCATTTTACGAACGCGCAAAGACATCTTTTGCTGTGGTTGCTACAGGGTATGTTTCTCTATAATGTTGGAACTCAATGTTTTTGCCGCATTTTATTTTGCATGCAGTAGATGTCGTCATATGAATTCACCTTCCGAAGTCTCACAAAATCTCTCCGTAAACAGGGGTCACTTTATATGCTGAGTATAAAACTGGACTGTACCTTGGGAGCAGTCGCCAGTTTTGTTGTTCGTCATGATCAGTGTGGGCATGTCTTAAACTCCCATGCAGCCCATATCACCTACTTGATCCCTTGCACCCAATTAAAAGGCACCAGTAAAAGAAACATCTATTTAAGAGGTTCAAAATTGAGGCTGTTAATGCGAGCAAAGGTTGTGGCGTCTGAAAATATTAGGGAGGGGTCTTGTCTTTGAGTACATGCATCTTGTACCTTGATGAACTTAGAATTTGAGTTGGCATATATGCCATGATCTGTGGGTAATCACTGGAACTTTGAATAGAATTTGACACAAACCATGGGTTTCAGAATCTGTAGAAGAGAGAAAAGTAAATTATTTTTACAGAAGATGCAGCCAAAGTCCTTTCAAGCCCCCTGCATTCCCTGTTTTCAATATAATGCACTGGTTTATCTTTCATAGTATTGCACATGAGGAAATGCAAGTTGCGTCCTGAGCTGAAGTGAGGTTAGAACAGATGAAGGGGGAGAAGATTAGAAGGATATGCAGATAGTGTTCATGCACCAGTCTCCTCTCACTCTAACATAGATCGATTGGACTGATTGTCTTTTTCTGTGCTGTAAATTTTAGGTTGTATGTGTAATTGGATCAGTGCACATTGATATAGTTCTGCTCCAGTTTAAAAGACATATGCCATGCCCTTTTTTACTTTGTCATCATAAAGTTCCACGTTCCACTTCTTTTTCAATGAAGGATGCCTACATAATCTTGTCAGACTGTCATTTGAACTGTTCCCCAGTAGCAGAGCTGTATTGTCTTTATTTGGACAGTGAGTGTAGTTATGGCGTCACAAGTTTACACATGGCAGTTCCCATTTATCAGTGAGGACACAGGCATTTATAATAGAAAAGATATTTTTAATGTTTGGACAGTATAATGAGCCTTTATTTACCTGACATTTTTACTTGAGAAGCTGGTACGCCAGGCTAAAATATTCTTGTGGGTTACTGGAAGATGTCATGGGAATAAACAGAAAATATAAGATGAAAATATTCATTGTTTTTGCTTCTATTTCATTGATCTGATATCTGGCATGTTGGGAGAGAAAAGGATTACACATAACCGGGACACTGAAGAAGTAACTGTTATTGTCTGTTAAAATCTGCTTGTAGCTGGGTCACATAATTGATCTTCTAGGAGTGAAACTTGATTTACACTCTAGATACTTTTTTTCTTTCAGGGAAACTGCACTGTACGGAAATCTCATTCTGACCAAAGGTGTGATTCCTGCTGGAGAAAAGGACGAGTGAAAATAGAGGATATTCCTGGAATAAATTGCATTGACAAATACAAATGCAGAAATTCCTGATTCTAGTGATACAGTGATTGATTTCTCTCAATGTCTTTGTTTCTCTTTGATATAACTCTGAATTAGGAAATTTATCCTATGTCCTGTGGTTCAGAATGAGTAGAATGCACATATTCTAATGGCTGCACTTGTATGATCCCACTACAAATATTAAAGGTAAAGGACTAAATATTGTGACTATGTTAGAGCAGATTGCTAATATCATCTTTGAACATTGTGAGCTTCTTTGTATAATGAATTATGTGATGGTACATTTCTTCATAAATCATTCTGGTTTTTGCTCTAATGCTTTTAATATTGAGAGGTTTATGTAGCATCACTTTCAGTGTTACAATGAATTACCAGGGATACATTTCATTTGTTTTGCATTTTCCTACTTTTGTAAACATTAATTCAAGGTCAAATTCATACTAAGAGCCATCGCCTTCAAAAATATTCAGTGAACTGTTTTTGTTTAAAATCATGTGGGATTTTTCTCTTCCCTCCAAGTGTTTGCAATAACTTTTCATTAAGACCATCTTTATATAAGTTCAGATGAAATGCAGATCCACGCAAGCTGTGGAGCACAATTGAAACTATTGCACTGGAGTTGCAGAATCCTGTGCATCAAGTTATGTAGCTGTCCCTTCTGAAGTTAAAGAAAATCCCCCACTCAGTGTCAACACTGTGCAAAATGCCAGCAGCTAAGTAGGGCTGTTGTTCATACTGTAAGGTTTTAAAAGTTATTACGAAATTGATGATGCTCCACTCCAGTTAATGGATTGCTTGGCGATGACAACAGATCACTGGGGGTGATAAAGAGATCCAAACAGAAATGGAAAAGATATGTCTGGTCTTCAGATTGTGGAATAGCTAATTGAGACCAGGGACAAAAAGATTCAGACCATAAACTGCAGCTTTCTACCCCCATAGTTCCTCATCTTTGTAGGATGATGTTGCCTTATTGTGGGTGTTGGCTACTCGCTGAATCTAGTCTTAATATTTTGATTTTAGAAAAGGATTCTATTTCCAAATTGATTTCACTCTGCATTTCCTTTGCAAATATTGCAACAGGGCTTGCAATGGGGAGTAGAATATTTCAGAAAAAGTAGTTTGCAGGTCAAGCACAAATCCTCAGGTCACTCAATTCAGCGACAAATTATTCATAAAGATTACATCACTCAGAAGCTATAAGACACTGAGTCTGGTTGTGTTTAATGTGGGGATGGAGAGAAATCCACAGCGGGTTCAGTTATCAGCTTAAACAAAGGAAAGTGTGCACGTGGATTCAAAATGCTGGCTTCTCCGGAAAACTGTACGAGAAGCAATAAAAATGTACATTGCCCGTGGCTTGTAGACATACGCGGAAATGTTATGTGAGATACTGGGCATGATAAATAATTCCTGACAGTGTGTGGGCTTTGCTGTTGGAGTGCATCGACTAGCAGCCATGAAAAGTTGGCCACTTTTCTTACAGAACTCCGATGGGATATATTGTTAGGCACTACAATGCTGCATTATGGAGTGCCATTTAAGAAGGACTTAAATTGAAGATCTAATTCAAATACTTCCCACACACCCTGCAGTCAAAGGCAATATTTAAATTGGGCAGAAATCAAGTAATCAAATCTTAGCAGTGCGATCGAAATTGAGATCCAGTTGGGAAAAGATTAATATGCAAAGGGAAAGAGCCTACATTTTCTGGTATGAGTGTGCGTAGAACAAAATGCTTCAGAAAGAAACCAGCTGGAAATGTTCCCCAAGAATTTATTTTGCTGCAGGATTTAATAACATGTTAGGCTAAAGGATCTCGCCTTGTGTTCCATGATTCAAGGATTGCTATTACCACAGGCCATAGGAGCAGAAGTCGGTCATTCAGCCCATCAAGTCTGCTTTGCGATTCAGTAAGGCTTTTTTAGTCCTTGGTGGGACGTGAACGTCATTGTTTGGCCAGCATTTATTAGCTGTACCTAGTTGCTCTTGAAGATGGTTCTGAGCTGCCTCCTTGAACCACTGCATATGCTGTACATTGACCCACAATGCTCTTAAGGGGGGATTTCCAGATTTTGACCCAGCGACAGTGAAGGAACGGCAATAAATTTCCAAGTCAGGATGGTGAGTGGGTTGGAGGGGAGCTTGCAGGTTGTGGTGTTCCCATGTATTGGCTGCCCTTCTCCTTCTAGATGGAAATGGTCATGTGTTTGGAAGGTGCTGTCTGAAGATTTTGGTAACTTTCTGCAGTGTATCTTGTAGATAGTACACACTGCTGCTACTGAGTGTTGTGGTGGAGGGAGTGGATGTTTTTAGATGTGCTGCCAATCACATGGGCTGTTTTGTCCTGGTTGGTGTCGGGCCTCTTGAGTGTTGTTGAGTTTCTTGTCAGTGGTAGCTCCCAAGATGTTGATGGTGAGGGATTCAGTGATTGTAACACCTTTAAATGTCAAGAAGTGGAGCTTAGATTGTCCCTTCTTGGAGACGGATTCCATGGTATTTGTGTGACATGAAAGTTACTTGCCATTTGTCAGCCCAAGCCAGGGTATTGTCCAGATCTTGTTACATTTGAACATGGACTGTGTCAGTATCTGAGGAGTCACAAATGGTGCTGAACATCCCCACTGTTAACCCTATGATGGAGGGAAGGTCATTGATGAAGCAGCTGAAGATGGTTTGGCCTAGAACATGGCCCTCACGAACTCCTACAGAGATGCCCTGGAGCTAAATGACTAACTTCCAACAACCACAACCATCTTTCTATATGCTAGGTATAACTCCAACCAGTGGAGAGTTTGCCCCCTAATTCTCACTGATTCCAAAAACAGAAGTTGCTGGAAAAGCTCAGCGGGTCTGATAACATCTGTGAAGAGAAATCAGAGTTGACGTTTCAGGTCTGGTGACCCTTCCTCAGAATTGATGGTAGCTAGGAAAATGTCGGTTTATATGCAGAAGATAGGATGGGAGGAGGGAGTCAAGAGCAAACAACAGGTGGAGATAGAGCCCAAAGAGAGAGAAGAGCAGTTGTACAGACAAAGGAATAGATAACAATCTGGCCAGGAGGGTGAATAGCTGTTAATGGAGACTGTTAGCGGCTAACAATAGGTAGTGTGTAATTGCAGACTATGTGATGACAAGGCCTGGTGTGTGGGGTAGGGGGCTAGGATACGGGAGAATTCAGGACCTAAAATTATTGAACTTGATATTGAGTCTGAAGGGCTGCAGGGTACCCAAGTGGAAGATGAGGTGTCATTCTTCCAGTTTGTGCTGAGCTTCACTGGAACACTGCAGCAAGCCTGAGACAGAGATGTTGACCAGGGAACAGGGTGGTGGATTAAAGTGGCAAGCAACAGGAAGCTCAGGGTCTTTTTTACAGGCAGAATGTAGATGTTCTGTGAAGTGGTCACCCAGTCTATGCTTCGTTTCCCCAATGTAGAGGAAACCACATTGTGAGCAGTGAATGCAGTAGACGAGATTGTGTGAAGTGCAGGTGAAGCACTGTTTCACCTGGAAGGTACGTTTGGGCCCTTGGATACTGAGGAAGGAGGAGGTAAATGGGCAGGTGTTACCTTTCTTTGCAACTGCCGAAAGTGTGCCATGGGGCTGTGGGGGTGTGTTGGGAGTGAAGGAAGTGTGGACCAGGGTGTCCCGGAGGGAACGGTCCCTGTGGTAGGCCGACAGGGGACAGGAGGGGAATATGTGTCTGATGGTGGCATCTCACTGGAGGTGGCAGAAATGGCGTCTGATGATATTCTGGATGTGGATGCTGGAGAGATGGTAGGTAAGGACAGGGGAACCCTATCACTGTTGTGGAATGGAAGAGGGGGGCGAGGACGGAAGTGCGGGAGATGGGTCAGACATGGTTGACGGCCTGATTGACAACAATGCTAGGGAATCCTCAGTTGAGGAAGAAAGTGAACATTTCGGAGACTCCCTTGTTGAAGTTGGCCTCATCTGAAAATATGCGATGGAGACGGAGGAACTGAGAGAATGGGATGGAGTCTTTACAGGAATCAGGTGCAAGGATATATAGTCCAGGTAGCTGTGGGAGTCATTGGGTTTGTAGTGGATATTTAGTGGGCAGTCTATCCCCAAAAGCGGAAACAGAGATGTTGATGGACGGAGGAGTCAGAGATAGACCAGGTGAAAGTGAGGGCAGGGTGGAAATTGGAAGCAAAGTCAATGAACTTTTCCAATTCCAGTTGAGAGGGGGAACCAGCATCAACGATATCATCGATATATCAGAGAAAGTGTTATAGGTAGGGGCTGGAATAGGACTGGAACAAGGAATGTTCCACATACCCCACGATGCGACAGGCATAAGTGATTCCAGTTATGTTCGGGCTCCTCGAGATCACATTTGATTGAATGTGGCCTTGATGTCAAGGGCTGCCACTCTCACCTCACCTCATGGCTGATCTGATTATCCTCAACTTCACTTTCCTATCTTCACCCCATAGCCCTTGTTTCCCTTACTGATTAAAAATCTGCCTTGAATATACTTAATGACTCCCAGCTATACAGCCCTCTGTAATAAAGAATTCCATAGATTCACTCCCCTCTGAATATGGAACAGCAACATCCAGATTGCTCCATATATCCTTCTCATGACAAGATAGCACCTAAACTCTATTTAAGCATAATCTGAGAGAGTAACACATACTACATCACTTCAGTACATTAAACTGTTGTGCTAAAAATCACATGCCTTCATGAAGCTGGAGAAACTAGAGGGTATAGGTTTAAGGTGAGAAGGGAAAGATTTAAAAAGGATCTAAGAGGCAACTTTTTCACGCAGAGGGTGGTGTGTGTATGGAATGAGCTGCCAGAGGAAGTGGTGGAGGCTGGTACAATGACAACATTTGAAAGGCATCTGGATGGGTAGATGAATAGGAAGAGTTTGGAGGGATATAGGCCAAATGCTGGCAAATGGGACTAGGTCAGATTGGGATGTCTGGCACAGACAAGTTACACTGAAGGGCCTGTTGCCATGCAGTGTAACTTTTAGGGAAATGAAAACAAGAAGACAGCAATGGGTGTCTTTAGAAATTGCACTTTATTGTGCTTTAAACCAATACTTTTACCTACTCAATGAGATATCAGTTGGAGTATCTCTGGCTGTTGCTGTCTGCACGTATTGCTTCTTATCTTTATCTTTAACTCATTATGAGCTGTATTCTTTATTTATATCCATAGGAAGTAGGTTTTTAAATACAGCTCTGTAGTGCAGAGTCTGAGACTCCTCTCTTTGCATGCCTATTCTGGACTGGTGGCTTCTCTTTACTGCTGTTAGAGTTGCCTAGTCAATTATATCATCATGATTTATGTGGATCTCATTGTATCACAGAATTCCGATAACCTTTATATAGCAGCGGACATTCAAGCTCAAGGTTTAAAACAATAATCATTAGCCAGCAAGTTCTAGAAATCTGGCTGTCAAAATTTTTTGCATATGTGCAGTTGTAAGCTGATATATTTTGGAAGGCCAAATGCAAGAGAAAAGTATACAGTAAATGGCAGGACCCTTCAGGAGCATTGATGCTGCTAGATGTTGGGGTGTATGTCCATAGCTCCCTGAAAGTGGCAGCACAAGTGGATGAGGTGGTAATGAAGGCATGCGGTAAGCTTGCCTTCATTAGTCGGGGCATTGAGTATAAAAGTTGGCAAGTCACATTGCAACTGTGTAAAACTTTAGGCGACATTTGGAGTATTGTGTGCAGTTCTGGTCACTATAAGAAGGATGTGGAGGCTTTGGAGAGGGTGCAAAAGAGGTTTACCAGGATGTTGCCTGAGTGAGTGTATTAACTACAAGGAGATGCTGGACAAACTTGGACAGTTTTCACTAGAATGTTGGAGGCTGAGGGGGCAACCTGATTGAAGTATATAAATTTATGAGAGGCATGGATAGGATGGATAGTTGGAGTCTTTTTTCCAAGGTGGAAATGTCAAATACTAAGGGGCATAGGTTTAAGGTGAGAGGGAAAGAATTTAAAGGAGATGTGCGAGGAAAGTTTTTTTTTACACGGGGTGATAGGTGCCTGGAACCTGCTGCCAGGGAAGGTGGTAGAAGCACATACATTTGCAATGTTTAAGAGCATTTAGGCAAACACATGAACAGGCAGGGAATAGGGGAATACAGACCATATGCAGGCAGATGGGATTAGTTTAGAATGGCACATGATTGGCACAGATATGGTGGGCCGAAGGGCCTGTTCCCGTGCTGTACAGTTCAATGTTTCACATCCACAGGTTTCTCCTCTTTGAAACAGCATGTTCTCAGCTGCTGTCTCATTGGTGAAAGAATAGGAACTCCTATATATACAGGGCCTTTCATACTATGGGTTTCCCCAACATTTGTGATAATTGTAAATGAGGACTGCAGAATCTGTTAGCATTAGCTACCTCTGATCTATGTAAACCAATGGGAATATGCATCTAAACTACTAATGTCACTACTTATGTTGTTTGATTTGATTTATTACTATAATTGTGTCCCAAGGTACAGTGAAAAGTGTTGTCTTACGTGCTTTACGGGCAGATCGTATTATACAAGTGCATCAGGGTAACAGAACAGAGTAGGAGCAAGTTACCGCAGATGCTGGAATCTGTACTGAAAACAAAAAAATGCTGGAAATCACAGTGGGTTAGGCAGCATCTATGGAGAGAGAGCAAACTAACGTTTTGAGTCTGTATGACTCTTCATCAGAGCAGAACAGAGTGTAGGATGGAGCTGTCAAGAAGGTGCAGAGAGAGATCAACATTAACATTTAAGAGGTCCGTTCAAACGTTGATGGTATGAATCATATGTTATTCAAGAAAGGTAACCTTTCAGACAATCCTTAAAAGTATCTGAACGTTTCCTGGTGTGTTGCAGGTTTTACAAAAACCTTTCTATTTGCAACACTGAATTTATTTCATTTATTCTTGAGATGTGTGCCACTCTAAGACGATGATGCTAACTTTCTGTCCCTGTTTTCCAATGAGGGCATTAAGAGTTAACCACAGTAATATAGACTGGTATCATCTGTAACTCAGACCCGGCCAAGATGCCAGCTCCTTGGTAAAAGTGAAGTCATTACTTGTTTTCTGACAACACCAATATGCCACCGGAAACTGTGGGATTCTCTTCATTCCGTAAGCTATGCTTTTCTCCTTAATACATTTGGTAAAACAACTCAACTACTTTTGCTGAGATTAACTCCTTCACCTTGAGAACCTGTTTGCTTATGCACCCACCTCCAACCACCTTCACCTGATTTGTGACTGAGAAAGGCTAATCTTCACCTTCGAAAACTCTAGGATTGATTCTACTGGTGCCCCCTTTGGCAACTGCCAACCATCTCACACACTAATCAATCCGGACATCAACAACCCAGCTGGCCCGGTAGCTCAGTGGTTAGGACTGCTGCCTCACAGTGCCAGGGACCTGGGTTTTGATTCCACCTTTGCGTGACCGTCTGCGTGGAGTTTGCACATTCTCCCCATGTCTGCATTGGTTATCCTTCAGGTGCTCCGGTTTCCTTGCACAGTCCAAAGATGTGCAGGTTAGGTGGATTGGCCATGCTAAATTATCCATAGTGTCCAGGGATGTGCAGGCTAGATAGGTTAGCCATGGGATATGCAGAGTTATAGGGCAGGGGTATGGGTCTGGGTGGGATGCTCTTCAGAGGGTTAGTGTAAACTCGATGGGCTGAAAGGCCTGCTTCTACACTGTAGGAGATTTTATGATTCCTCTCTTAAAGTAGAGTCAGCAAAAATGCTGTCTTCCCTCAACTCCAACATGCCTGTGCAAAATGACGTCAATGTTGTTGCTAACATTTTGAAATCCTGCCATTGACTCTCTCAAATATAACCAGAAAACTGCAGGCTCTAAGGTACTTACCTGCTACTGTTTGTCTCTCCTCTTATTAATTGCCTATTTGTCGCACTGCTCCATCATTGGAGACCAGCCAACCATTACATCCCTGCTTCTGGTATTCTCATCCAAAATTATACTTGTTTCTCTCACTCCTGGTCTTCAAAAGCTGCCAAAATGCCACCCTGTTTTGTTGTGCATTTAATCTCCCTTCCCTCCTCCTAATTCCATTGCCGTTTGCAAGGCTTCCACGTCTTTGCCCTTAGAAATCACTGAAAAGCATTTTATTTAAAGGAATCCAATGCTGTCTAAATGACAGAGATAGTAGGAACTGCAGATGCTGGAGAATCTGATATAACAAGGTGTAGAGCTGGATGAACACAGCAGGCCAAGCAGCATCAGAAGAGCAGGAAGGCTGACGTTTCAGGCCTAGACCCTTCTTCATTTTCTG